CAGCTGGATAAGCGGCTCATCCTCACGAGCGAGAACCTTTTCAATAAATGAGAAGGGAGAGACTAAAGCCCCGACATCTATGCCTATAAATTTTTTTTAATTCCTCACCCAAGGGTGTTTTTCCATTGACTTTTTAGAGAGCGGAAGAGGCAGAGAAACATCGATTCATCGCCTCCTGCACGTACCCGGACCAGAGCCCTGGCCAGAGAGGAGCCTGCAACCCAGGTCTGTGCCCTTGACCGGAAATGAACCCAAGACCCTTCAGCCTGAGGCTGGCGCTCTATCCACTGAGCAAAACCGGCCAGGGCAAAACCTATACTTTTTAAAAAGGCAGAAACAGTAGTCTCCAAAGAAAAGACTTGTAGGAAAACCACCGAGAACAGAGCGTAGACACACGGCTGATAGGACACCACACGTGACTCAGTGACGACGTTCACTGCACGGCCAGCGGACGCCTGCTCCGTGTGCGTGTGCATCTCCAGCTATAGCATCTATACTGAAACGCTGCTTTATTTCAAGTATGTGAATATTTAAATTGCCTGGATTTAACTGAAAAGAGGCATTCGGATCCGCTCAGACAAGGCTGACCGGGCTGCTCGGCTGCTCAGGGCCTCCGCTGCGCTCTCACCAGGAGTGTGCTGGGCGCCCAGGTTTCACTTTGTAAGTAACCCGCAGCGAGTGACCCCAGGACAACTCCATCTACTCTCAGGTCCTCACCTTCTCGGAAAAGGCCTGCCGAGCAGCACCCCCTGAACCAGCTCCCCAGGAAGGGGCTGCTAACAGCCCGCCCACAACCAGCCCCTCCAAGGGCAGCCGGGCGAGTGAGTCCCTCTGGGGAAGGGCCTGCTCGGAGCCCCAGCTCCCACGGTGCCGCTTGAGAAGCCGGTGGAGTGCCTGTGACATGAGATGCCTTCCCGGTCGGGGCTGGCACCTGTTCTCTAAGGGCCAGAGGGTAGGATGTGAGCTGTGCGGCCCCCGGTGTCCCAGCTGCTCCACTTGGCTGCAGCCATAGCCAACGTGGGAAGGAATGAGCCCGGTGCCCAATACGACTTCATTTATAGGAGAGGGGGGTCTGCATGTGTGGCAGTCCCTGTCCAGAGCAATGCTAAGATAACCACACGATTTTTAAAAAGCACGGCACACGTGCTGGCAATAAAAAAACAGAACAAATGCAAACACCTTCACAGTGAGACTGTGTGAGGAGAATTTACTTGACCATCTCTGGGTGCTGCTCCTTTCACCCTCAGACAGTGAATCACTATAGAAAAGGTCTCTCCCATAAAGTGGAGGAGACCACGGAGAGGACCAGCGGCAGCACGTGGGTGTCCTACCTTCTTCTCCAGGGAGTTGCTCCACTCCTTCAGCAGATTCACGTGCTGCACCGCGGAGCTGGCCTCGTGCGCCTTGATCTGCTGGTTCGTCCCCTGCAGAGCAAAGTGCAGGGCATTAGCCCTGGTCACCCACAGCAGAGCAGAAAGCCCGGAGAAGCCTGAACCGGAGGCAGCACCCAACGGGAAGCGGGAGCCTGGCTCCTGGGATGTGACTGACTGCCGTGCCCAGCGGCCCCACTCCACTGTTAGCGGGCGCACGGGAGGCGGCTCTGAAGTTGTACAGGGATCTCGGGCTCACGGCTTCACTCCTAAGCTGCTCTCACCAAGTGCCTTCTCGGCTGTTTCATACTTACAACATCAAGAAATTGAATTTCAGACATATCATTTTCCTTCCTTTAGAAATTTATTCATTAAAATATAAACGGGTTTGGACAGCTTCAGTTACAGCTAGATACTGATACAGTAATCGAGTGAACATGTAATCAGATGAGGGTTCTGACTAATTCACCAAAACATTAACTTATCAGTGACATACACTGTAGCAGGAAATGTACCGCTCGCTGTTCTAAAGCTACTTAGGAAGTTACACAGAAACATAAATAAACCAGCTACAGAGTACATAAGATGCAGACCATCTCAGGAACAAGCACAGCAAGTAGTGCTTCCATACTTAGGAAGTAATTGATAGGAAAATAGAATTTGTTTTGATATTGGAAAATTAAGAAGCCACAGGAAGCATTTTAATGATCTCCAAAACATATACTCTGTACAGAGAATATTCCTATGTATATGTTGACATAAGTGTTGCTATATGTCAACATATACATACACAGACACAGAATGAAAGGTACTACACACGACATCACAGGGGCGAGGCTCCGTCCCCAGGAGACTGGGGCAGAGAGAAGCTACAGTTCTCTTCATGCTCAGGCTTTCACTTCCTGAGAAAATACTAGGACAGCATGTCTCGGTACCAACTTCATACCGATGTGCGGCTCATACATAAAGTTAAATATAAAATACTTTAATAGTAATAGATACTGTCTTTTCATAGTTTTAATATTAAGATACACATTTAAATAGAAACTCAGTTCAAATTCACTAGCAATCTCAGACGTGTTAAAAACAATAAATAGCCGGGCCGGCGTGGCTCAGTGGTTGAGCGCCGACCTATGAACCAGGAGGTCATGTTCAATTCCAGGTCAGGGCACAGGCCTGCGTTGCAGGCTTGATCCCCAGTGAGGGGCATGCAGAGGCAGCTGATCAATGATTCTCTCTCATCATTGATGTTTCTATCTCTCTCTCCTTCGCCCTTCCTCTCTGATATCAATAAAAACATATTTAAAAAAAAAAAAAATATATATATATATATATATATACTTAAAAAAACAAAAAGTCAGAAACAGGTTTGTCACAGCAATGACGGAGACGTCCTCTCCATGCTGCTGTCCCAGGAGGTGTGGCTTGCATGCAGAATGCATTTATGGATGCACACGTGTGTGACGCTCACCAGTGCACCGATACGCACACTGCTCACACCAGCCGGCTACAGACTTACTCACAAGCATTACAGCTGACATCGCCATCACCGTCTGGCTGCAAACCCCACCCGCCGTCAGGCCTGTACGACCCACTCACTAGCTGGTTTCAGACGGGAACATCCTGACTTCCTCTTGGCTCAGGTGTCCACCTTAACTCTCAAAGCCCCACCGTCACCCACGCAACAGGGTGATTCGGGTTCATGCAAGGACTCCAAGCCCAGAAGTGGCACGTTAAAATGTTAATGTAATAACTTGCTCCCATGGCAGAATGTCAGCGACTGGGAAGGACAGACATCGGATACTGACCTGAAAAACGCAGCCATAGCGCTTAAAACTACAGGTGCTGGGGGCATTGACACACTCTGACAAGTGGGCACTCAACTGCAACGGAAAGAGACGTGAGTTGTGGCACGAACATTCGCATGAAAATGTTCAAACAGGTTAAAGGCACAGGAGCACCCAGGCTGCACCGTCACGGACGGCGATTACAGCCGCAGGTGTGTCCCGTCACCGGCTCCCAGACTCCTCGGCAGTGAATTCACAGTATTGTCACGTGTGTACACAGATACACCAATATACGGAAATACGTTCACTGTAGCGTTGCTTAAACTCGAGTTTTCGTTAGGAATGTTCGAAACGTGACCTGCCGTCTGCAGTGCCAGAGATAAGAAAGGAAGAAACGTAAACTGAAATGCACATTGAAAGACTGTAAACGAAAATTGCATGAAACACAAAAAAGGAAAGCATCCGGGATGCAACTGGGCCACACACCTCATACACAGCACACAAACACACTTCCCAAGGAGCGCGGGACGCCGCCTCCCGTCCCTTCCCTGACTCGCCCTGCAGGGCGTGCACCGCGGTCTCCAAAGGCCGCTGCGGCCGTGCTAACAGGAGTCTGAGCTGTCACCTCTCGCTGACGGGGATTAGAGGGCCTGGGAGAGGATGACGATGAAGCTGCAGGTCGGCAACTGGTCCATACAAACCACCTACACCTGCGACGCCCCCTCCGGAGGCAGAAGGTGCTGGGCCCTGGGCTGACGCAATGTAAGGGCAGTTTCTCCTTTTACTGAAGAAATACATTCTCATCAGGAAACTCCGGGGACAGACCTTTACAGGAACAATCAGGACCTGTCTGTTGTGGGCCAGGGCCACACCCCCAGTGCCTGTGGGGCGTCACTCTGGCGGGGGGGGCATTGGTCTGCAGGACAAAGCAGGCCCCTCCCTGTAGGTCAGCACTTGGGACAGAGAGGAAAGTGGCCACAGGACTGCTCTCTGTTGCGACTGCGATGAGGAGGGCCAGCACCGAGGGACCCGACCGGTCTCTGAGCGGGCAGCCCAGCACACCGAGGCTCCTCTGACCCAGCCTGGAGTCCGGCCTGCACCCGAGGGAGCACCTAGAGCAGTGATGGCGAACCTATGACACATGTCAGAGGTGACACGCAAACTCATTTTTTTGGTTGATTTTTCTTCGTTAAATGTCATTTAAGTATATAAAATAAATATCAAAAATATAAATCTTTGTTTTACTATGGTTGCAAATATCAAAAAATTTCTATATGTGACACGGCACCAGAGTTAAGTTAGGGTTTTCAAAATGCTGACACGCTGAGCTCAAAAGGTTCGCCATCACTGGCCTAGAAGGTCCATCACGGGCCGGCAGAGGCGCAGCCTGAGCAACTTAAACTTTAAAAGGACCTTCCACTGCCATCACCGCCGTCGGGAACGAGCAGTCGGCTGTGCTGCGGGATCAGAGCAGAGTCCACGCGATTGTCAGGGCGCCGCCATAAATTCAGGGTCACACTTTTTCCTAAATTGGCTTTATTATCATCACTCGCAAAGCCTTACAGAATTTGCAGGCACTTTGGAATAGAGGCAAGAATAATCTATACGCCAATAACACCTTTCACCAGAAACTCAAGGTAAATGCTGGTTGAAAGATTTTTTTGAAATAAAAATAACTTAGAGGCAAAATGGAGGCAGCTTTCGTCCCTAATTCAGATAGCCCTGAGTGAGTAAAGATTTAGCAGAGTGTATAAGACCCTGAAATTATTTCAACAACAGACTCTGCGTGCGCTCACTTTAACAGAGCGGCTCTCTGGTTGTGGAAATAATTGATGTGTGTTTCCCCGCTACTCGGAGAGGCACGTTCAGGGCCAGGGACCGGCCACCAGGCGAGACCCTGCCTTCGCCCCGCAGTCAACTTGTGCAGGATGCACCTCGAGGGAGAGCGGCTCTTGGGGTCCTCCCTGCACCCCGCGTCTCCCACTCAGTGAGGACCTGAGGGGATGCTCCCCACACTGTCTCCAGTGGTAAAATTCCTAGTGGCCCAAAGGCTGAGGGGACTTCTCAGAGCAGAGCCCCCAGGACTAAGGGGACACACGCACCCACGGAGCCCACTGAGCCCACGTGAGCCCCAATGGCACCCCAAATGGCAACTAAAGGGCTGCAGGTCAGGATTGGATGCAAAGACATGAAGAACCCTTGGAGTTTCCGTCTGGGTGTGTCTGGGGAAGGTGCCTTCCCAGTGGCCCCTGACACGCAGCCGCTGGCCGGTGCCACTCGCTTCCCACGCCAGCATGCGCGGCCTAAGTGCTCCGGCAGCATCTCTGAACAAATCCATTTTCTTGGGATAATCCTACAGTAATTCCTATTTTACTGATTTAAAAACAGCTGCTTTTAAAAATGGCATCTCCTTTGCTTGCACTGGAAGCAATCCCGTTTTCTCAATTCTTAGCAACACTCGTGCTGCCCCGACACTGCGGCCTTTAGTTGCTTCTGAACCTCCGACTCCCAAGAGCAGCGGGAGGGTTTCTATTGTGATCTGCAAACCTAGGGTCTCGGAGTCAGGGAGGGGTGTCTATGGCTCGCTGTCCTCGGACCCCGGGCCAGGCAGCGGCGCCCTTACCTCGCTCCTCAGGAGGGTCTGGACCCTGCACTTGTGCGGGCAGGACACCACCACGCAGGGACAGTCAGTGTCTTCGTGTTTCTGCAGGAGAAAAGGAACGTGTCGTCAGCTTTGAAACATACAGGACCCGGAGGAGGCACTCAACGCCGTCCGGATAGGCCCTCACACCGACAAAGCGCTGGAAGATACGGCCTCACGGGAGCCCGGTCACCCTGACGAGCTACCGCCCTCGTGGAGCAGTGTGTGCTCTTAGCGGGGCGCCTGTGCCCACAGCGGCGAGGGGAGGGGAGGGGAGGGCGGGCTGAGACCAGCCCGGGCCCAGCCTTGGCTCTCGGGGAGACGAGTTTTGTCTGGCCTCTCAGTTTGGGGTCTGGAAATGATGCTTCTCAAATGCCCGGAACAGCCAGACCTCCTGGGTAGTTAAATTACAGCCCTGAAATCCTACTGAAATTATCTTTAGTGCCTGGAAAATATGGGTAAATTCTGCTTGAGCCCTTCTCTGATGGCACCAATTTCAAGTGCAGGGGCCTGAGTGACAGGGACTGATCGACTCGATGCCGCCGGCACCCATGCACCGGTCCATAAGTGCAGGAAGGGCAAGGGCCTGAGCACAGGTGACAGGCGACAGGGCCGTGGGAGCAGGCGGAGGCGGAGGGGGAACTGCGCGCTCAGCAAGGAGCCCAGGAGGCCAGGCCCCGGACACTCCAGCTTCTCTCTGGCCTCCCAGGCCAGGCTGCTGAGCTGAGTGACGGGAGCCTGGCCAGGCGCCTGGGTCTGACTGGGCAGGTGTGGGCAGAGGACAGGGTGGCCCATGTGGGCGAGTGAGCGGGGATGCTTCTCTGAGGCCCGGAGCCAGGCCGCACACTGTGCTTTCTCGCGTGGTTTTAAGGCCCGTCTCTGGGCCTGCGGCCAGCGGTGACCTTCTGCACACGCTGCTCTGCTGCTGGGCCAGGTCCGAGGTCCCGGGGGGCGAGGCCACGCTGCTCGGAGCTCACTGAGGGCCCTCGACCACAGGCCTCCCCGAGGCACCGCGTTGGCTTCCCATCCTGCCTGCCTGTGTGCAGCTTCCTGGTGCCCAGGCCCAGGTCTTCAGGGAGAAACCTGGACAAGAGCTCCGCCTCCGCCTCACCTGTAAAGGCAGGGGTGGCGGGCGCTGGGAGGGAGGAGTCAGGCCTGGGCCTCAGAGCTCACCAGGCAACGCTCCGCCTCCTCCCCAACCTGCCTGTCCCATCCTCATGCACAGACCAGCCCAGGAGGACCGCTAGGGATGCAGAGAGCATGTGTGT